CCCATAATAATCCTAGTTGAGATTGAGAATCACAAATGGCTCGTCTGAACCACTCGATGACTGCTTAAGTCAACACAAGAGTCAAAAGGTCACAACTAGAGCTAATTTCTGCCAACAACTTGTTTTTAACCATAAGGTCTTGGGTAAATGTGTTGGTACCAAGTGAAGCATATTTTGCTAAACATAAAAGAAAGCGGACTCAATCCCTTAAGAAGGTCTTCACGCCATCTATCGTTGGGAAGAGCCACCCGGTTCACACAAAATCCACCTTTGGAAAGAACCATGGCACTAAGAAAACCAAAGGTTAATTGTTCACTCAAACGTAAGAAGTTATACTAAAATAAAAAAGAAGTTACTAAAATAAATAAGAAGTTATACTACTAAGAAAGACAAACTAAAGAAGCTAAACTACGGAAAGTAAGGCAAACGAATATACAAACCGACGGGAAAATGAATATAAACATCAAGGGAAAGGGAAGAATATATACATAACCAAAGAGAAAATAAAGATAAAAGAAAAATAGTATAAGAGTTATTACACACCAAATGTCAATGTCAAATTAATCAAAATAGACCACCCCCCGAATAAAAATGAGCATTGTCCCCAATTCTTATCAAAAATAAGAACAAGAAGGTGTAGAGAATTAAGAGAACTCCCTATGTGGTCTCAGTCTGCATGGCATCCTCAGCACCCTCGGTCTCCTCTACCTGTATCTCATCATCACCTGGTTGAGGGACAACAGGGTTGCTGAGCATCTGGATCATCCCCTCAGCGGTATGGGCAGTCGCAACCGGCTCCTCAGACTGGCCGACTGATATATGTGATGCCTCTGGTACTGCTGGTGTTGAAGATGCTCCCTCCATAAGTAGGTCCAGTGGTAGATCTTTGGCAGATGCAAGCTTGGTAACTGGTTTTATCAACTTATCCACCGACTTCTTTGAAGCTTGAGACTTCCGCATTTTCTTTACTTGCTTGCCCAAATCCTCAATGATATCCACATGTGCCACCAGAGTCTTCATAATGGTCTTCTGGTTGTCTAGAATCTTCTTCAATGTTTCCTCTACTGACGGACGTACTTGTGGTGCAGCCTGGGCAGAATACTGTGCTGCAACAACAATGGATATGTCAGACAACTTTGAAGTAGCTGCCTGCATCCAGTTGTTGAGACTCGCTAATGTCTGGGAGACTCGCAGAGCAGTCAGTGGATAAGTAGATAAAGTTGGCACTGATAATGGAGCTGATGGTCTGGAAGAAGAAGGTGGTGGCATGTCTGTTGTCCCGGTGGAAGGTCCGGCTGCTGTGGAAGGCATAGCATCTGCAAAAGGCTCAGTAGCTGAATCAGTAACTACTACTGTTGGCTCCTCAGACTGGCCAACGAAGGTAATTGCCTTACCCTTAAACTTCGGGTTGTCAGAACCCTGTAGGTGGTACCATGAGAAAGGCTTCTTGGCCTTTACCTTAGTATCATACTGCCTCGGCTCAACCTTTTGATCATTGAAGTACTCTGTGAGGAAGTTTGGGTAAGGGTAGGATCTCGTATCCTTCTAGACAGCCAAAATGATGTTGGTTGACATTATAACACCTACATTGATCGGGTACCCATCCATAATTGAAGCCACCAGTACTGCTCGGGGAAGTGGGAGGTCGTTCTCATTCAAGAACTGGTCAATGCGACTGCACACGAAAGTCTGCCACCCTTTAGCTTTAAAGTTTGGAGTGGCCCGGACTATGGGAACCCCTGTTGTGAGCCACAGAGGTGTTGATCCTCGAATAGCCAAAATCTCAGCTAGCCGCGGGCGAGCTGCATCACCCATAGCCAGCTTTTCCAAGTATTAGGTAGCCTCCACTTCCTCAAATCCCACATAAGAGTTCAAAGCACAGGAGTCGAATCGGATTTTCAGATTTTGCACTTTTGTCACCTTGGTACCCTTCTTAATGTGAGCCACATTGGCATAAAATTCTTTAACCAAGTGCTCATTTGCATCGAGGGCGCTTTGGGTGAACCATTTCCATCCTTTTCTCTCCTAGAACTGTCTGAGGACATTTGGGTTGTGCTTGTCCAAATCCTTCATCAAGAATTGTCGCTCAAGAGTGAGCGATCTCTGGGGTCACCACTCTCTAAATCTATTGAAGGCAGTCAAGCTGACAAATCTGTCTTCCCACATCTCCCTTTTCTTTGTCCTCTCAAGACCACCCACTTGAGTGTCTCCCCCTCTACCATCATCCGGGACGTCATCATCATCATCAACATTGATTGGTGCAGCCGGGGAATGTGAGGAAGAGGGCTCAGAATCATGTCTACCCTCTTCCGAACCTTTAGAAGAACAAGCAGAGGAAGATGATTCATCAGCCAAGTAGAATCTACCCGGGACTTGTTGAGATTGGGTGTTAGGTGGGGCTTGGTCAGAGTTTCCCTCAGAAACTTCCCTAGACGGGAGATACTCATTGGTGTCTGATGATTTAGGGACTCTGTTGGCCGTAGCCTTTTTTCTTAACACTCTCTGGATGGCTAGTGGTAGGTTACTCTTGCTTCGTCCTAGGCCTCAGCCTCGGCCTCGAGAGGGTTCTGCCCTCCCTTTTGATGTATCTCCTCCACCACGTGATCTAACCATCGTCTGCAATTCATAACAATAAGAATCAGTTAGAGTTCAGGTACATAGGACACATATATATGCATGATAGTTACAGGTCAGTTGTGAAAAAAACATAAGAGGCAGTGCGGACAACACAAAAGTGAGTGCGGTCGCATACTACCAAGTACAGACCGCACAAAAGTGAGTGCGGCCGCAGACTGCCAAGTGCGGACCGCACAAAAGTGAGTACGGCCGCACAATTTTGAGTGCGGCCGCACTGCCCCAGGTCCACACTACTGGGCCTCTGATCATTTAACAGTGCGGACCGCATAATTTTGATTGCGGACCGCACAATTTCACTGTGGACCGTATATTTTTGAGTGCGGTCCGCACAATTCAAGCATACAGATGCCCTAACTTAGAGACTGTGGACCGCACGAAAGTATGTGCGGCTGCACAATTTGGATTAACATGGCACTGCTTTGCGATTCATACATGTTTTGCAAGAATTAGACACGGCCCTAACAATTAAGCATGATTAGCTATTTACGCAGGCCTCAATTAACAATTATGAAGCTACCCACATGATTTTGAGCAAATATGACTAACTATTGATATTTTTAGGCATGAAATTAACACTAGACAAAAGAACAAAACTAAGAGAAGATGAAAAATCTAAAGATGAAATGAACATACCAGTGATGGAGGATGCATGTGAGAATCTAAGAGATGAAATGCTTGAAGTTTGAGAATTAGTGGGGGTTGCACTATGTTTGCTTAGGGCTTGAAGGTTCAGAGAATGTAAAGTGTTAAAAATTGAAAAAATACCTATTTATACTTTGACCCGTTGGGCCTAAACCTACCTGAGTGTGGCCACACAATTTTGAGTGCGGTCCGCACGCATTACCTATTCCTTCGAAGACGTTCTGCGGACCGCACAAAATTGTGTGTGGCCGCAGAATTTGTGTGGACCGCACAATTTTGTGTGCAGCCGCACTTTGTTAAGGATTTTTGACAGGCTAAACTTCAGAGATCATGCAATTTTGACCTTCCAATTGTGCGACCGCACATAGAATTGCGCGGCCGCAGAGTGATGACGTATCTCTGAAGTTTATCTCACTAAAAACATAGATCTAAACAATTAGTAGTTAAAATGCTATCAGAAACGGCCGGGTAAGTTGCAATGAGTTTAATATAGTCACGTCATTCTCTGTTTATTGATTTTATTCTGGTATCCATCTGAGAAGTTCAGTACAGTCTATAATAGGAAAGGAGATGCGATGTTATATTGTCTCAAGTACAATTTTCGTTGCTAGAAAAAAGCAGCAAATGACACAAATAGAAGTGAACAAAACCGAAAAGATATTCGTCTTTATTTAGAGGGGGTTTGCTAAGCTTATAAATTGATTAAACTGGTTTATAAGTACTTTTTGACTTATCTATACGTTTGGTAAATACCCAAACTGCTTATAAGCTAAGTGTTTATAAGCTAAAATCAGCCATAAGTCATAAGTTGGTCACCCCCAACTTATGACTTTTTAGCTTATAATTACTTTTAGTTTGACCAAGGTTTTTACTAGTTTATCCTTAACAATATTTTCTAATTCACAAAATATTTTTCCCAAAATAAATTTTCTAACTTTCTTTTCATTCCATATTCGTTGTTCATCTTTTTCTTTACAAAAAAACTTTTTAATTTATAATCTTTTGTAAAGTATTTAAGGATATTTTAGTCGTTTTAATAAAAGAATTACTTATCAGTTTTTTTCACCAAACACATTAACTGCTTATTATCAGTTTCAACACGTCTATCCAAACACGTAAGTGCTTATTTAAAAAATTGATTTCAACACTTAAAAATATTTTTCAGCACTTCAAACTTATCAGCTATTTACAATCAGCTAATCCAAACGGTCTCTTAGATCTTAAAACATAGATACTACTCTACTACTTATTGGTCAACATTTTGAATATACACTTATTTTACTCGGAGACCATACTTCATGTGGAATTTTTTTTTGTGAACTTTTCAACGAGCTAATAACTGTGGACTTGCACATGTATATTTCAAATAACAACTCATCAGATTGAGTCTTAAAATTGATACATCACAACTCCAAAAATTTAATCATAGTATAGTTTATTCCCACTAGTAAATAAAGATGAAGCTTTCTTTTCTAAAAACTATCTTTTTGTTGTGAAGACTAAATTATTAATACAATAGTTTTATTAGATGATAATTAAATGAACGAAAAAGAAAAGGGTCGATCCAATTAAGAATAAAAAATCACTTATCTTAAGTAGTGTGATTATCGTACAAAATGATAATCAAGCCAAGTGAAGACTCAGGGTTATATATATTTCTTTGCCCAATTTTACATTAAACAAACCCTACATGAAGGGGCAGTACTAATGTCTGACATTCTCAAGACTAGGAATAACATATATAATAAATCTCTGAGCATAGGAAATTTCCAGCTTGCTAATTAACAAACATGAACACTGTATTTCAGAAATTACTCTATGAAATGACAAGTAGCTAGCTAGTTCAACTAATAAGATAGTACTATCCATAGATTCATCTATAGATTAGGGATAAAATAAGTTAGAGAGCACACCACGTTCAATCTTCGCATAACCCTTGTGGCCCCATTCCTTTCTCCAACTATTTTTCACCAAATAGAAGTCCACGCCATCTTCTACACCATACCCAACAATTAACAGTGCTATGCATAGCTTCTTGTAATTACCTTCTTCAATCAATTTCTTTGTGGCTTCATTTTTTAGATTGGTAGGGCCCATGTATACTTTCTGCAATTTTTTTTTAAAATAAAAACACAACACACAATCAAAACATATATCGTGTATCAGTTTAAAGAATGAAAAAGAAAGTTAAATTACTTCACCTCGCCGAGAAAATCGTTAAAACTTGGAACATGAGGAACAGCGCAAGTTATAGGTTGCTGCTTAATCAAATTTTCTATTGCTTTCTTGTTCAAGTTCTCATTGACTCTCTTAAATCCTTTTATCTTCACAATATCCCACAACAAAACGTTACAAACTATCTTAAATTCTATTTGAAAATTAAGAAACAAATTAAAACTATGTATCAAACAGTGATACTTACCTCTTCAGATGGGCCGTGACACTCACCCCTTTGTTCAGTAAAGGGATATTTTACTTCTTTAACTATGCCATGGTCCCTAGCAAAGGTATATGCCTTTGCATAGGAACAAGGAAAGCATTCGTTCTCTTCCAGATATTCAAACCAAGTAGGCTTGTTATAGTGAGTGTACATGCAATCTAATAAATGTTGCTTCGAAAGGGGAACTATCTCCCCATTAATATGAGCACGCGCCGCGGTAATAACTTCTGTTGCGGCGAAAGCCCAACAACAACCTATCAATAAAAAGGTTATTTGTCAAGAATTTCAAAGAGAAAGACAAACTCATAACAATCATATTTGAATTGAGTAAAAGTGATAAAGAATTAATGAAACATACAACAATGTCCTTGATCATCCACCTCTAATAGGCAATCTTTGCCCCCCCCCCCCCCCCACCCCCCCAAACTAAACTCAATCTGAAACATCCAAAAATATTAACATTAAACCAATGTAAAAGATTCAGTTAATTGAAGATTATACCCAAGGCATGCAGTCAATAGATGCAACAAGTTAATAAAGCTAGAAAAACTAGGACACATTAGCTAAAAACAATGATCCTCCTACGTTCTTTTGGAAGAAAGAGCCTTCCACAGCCAATTGCTTATCTTCTGGTTTGGAGTAGCTTTGTCGTCCGGGGGTGCTTAGGCTCTAGCACAGATATTGATTGTTTGCTCAGGCCTTGCTCAGATGGTTTCGGCTCAGGACGCACCTGCCACTTCTCAGGCCGGGGAGGTACTCATACTCATGTTGCCCGTACTGCAGAGCAGGTTGTGCAAGGACTTCAGATACCGGGGGCACTACCAGCCCAGCCGGTTGTAGCTGCTCAAGCCTCGGTAGTCCCCGTTATGGCTGATGATGAGCAGAGGAGACTTGAGAGATTTGGGAGGCTTCAACCTCCATCATTTAGCGGTGTTGAGTCAGAGGATGCTCAAGGTTCTCTGGATAAATGCCAGGGGATGCTTCGGACAATGGATATTTTGGAGACCAGTGGGGTCTCATTCACTACTTTTCAGTTTTTTGGGGCTGCCTTCAGATGGTGGGAGACTTATGAGAGGAGCAAACCAGTTGGTGCATCACCACTTTCATGGCATGAGTTCTCCGTATTATTTCTGGAGAAGTTTGTGCCACAGACCCGCAGAGAGGAACTGCGCAGACAGTTCGAGTATTTACATCAGGAGGACTTACCCATGACTCTATATGAGATGCGGTTTTCAGAGTTGCCTCGTCATGCAGTTTGGTTGGTTCCCACTGAGAGGGAAAAGATCAAGAGGTTCATTAATAGCCTAAACCAGCTGTTTCGTTTTGTTATGACTATGGGAATATAGCAGGTGCTAGATTCGACGAGGTGGTTGACAGTGCTCGACGGCTAGAGATGGTCCGTACTCAGGAGCGTATGGAGAGGGAGGCCAAGAGGCCTCGTGGTCCGGGTAATTCCAGCGGTGTTCCTTTTGGAGGGGGCAGCCCTATCACAGTAGGGGTCATCCTTATAGTCCCGCTCATATGGCTCGTTCAACTCATCGTGGCACATCAACTAGCCATGGTCCATACAGTGCGCGATAGAGTCAGTCTTCTCTTGGTGCACTTCCAGCTCAGAGTTCATCTTGTGCACCATCAGTTCAGGGTTCATCTGTACTAGGTTCTTCTGGTAGTTATTCTGTTTCTCGAGGCCCTCCTCAGAACTCGCCACCATTTTTCGAGAGGGATTGTTATGAGTGTGGAGAGCTGGGGTAATGTGAGGAAATATTGTCCCTACTTTCCGCGAGGTCCAGTTCAACAGAGGAGTCAAGCTACAACTCCTGCACCAGTTGCTTCACCACTCGCCTAGCCAGCTCGGGGTGGGGCTCAGTAAGCTAGGGGTCGCCCAAGAGGGGGAGGCTGATCATATGGTGGTCAGACCCGATTCTTTGCTTTTCCTACCAGGTCAGATGTCGTTGCTTCAGATGCAGTGATCACAGGTATTGTCTCAGTGTGCCACAGGGAAACTTCTATATTCTGGTTCCACTTATTCGTATGTATCATCGTATTTTACTCATTATCTGGATATACCCAGTGAGTCCTTAGTTTCACTTATTCATGTATCTACGCCGGTGGGCGATACTATTATTGTGGACCGTGTGTATCGGTCGTGTGTTATAACTATTGGGGGACTGGAGAGTATAGTTGATCTTTTATTGCTTAGTATGGTCGATTTTGATGTTATCTTGGGTATGGATTGGTTGTCTCCTTGTCATGCTATTCTGGACTGTCAGGCAAAATAATGATATTGGCGATACCGGGATTGCCGAAGGTAGAGTGGAAAGGTTCTTTAAATTATGTTCCCAGCAGGGTAATTTCTTATTTGAAGGCCCAACATATGGTTGGGAAGAGGTGTTTGTCATATTTAGCCTTTGTAAGAGATGTTGATGCAGATAATCCTACTATTGAGTCAGTATCGGTAGTGCGAGACTTTTCGGATGTATTTCCTGCAGACCTGCAGGGTATGCCACCCGACAGGGATATTGATTTCAGTATTGACTTGGTGCCAGGCACTCATCCCATTTCTATTCCTCTGCATCGTATGGCACTAGCTGAATTGAAAGAATTAAAAGAGCAACTTCAGGAACTTCTTGATAAAGGGTTTGTTAGGCCTAGTGTGTCACCTTAGGGTCCACCGGTTCTGTTTGTGAAAAAGAAAGATGGTATTATGCGGATGTGCATTGACTACAGGCAGTTGAACAAAGTTACAATCAAGAATAAGTATCATTTGCCGCGTATTGACGATTTATTTGACCAGCTTCAGAAGCTCAAGACTGCCTTGACCACAACTCCACTTCTAGTTTTGCCTTCAGCTTTAGGCTCTTATACAGTGTATTGTGATGCTTCTCGGATTGGTATTGGGTGTGTCTTAATGCTGGAAGGTAGAGTGATTGCCTATGATTCGCGCCAGTTGAAGCCACATGAAAAGAACTAACATGTCCATGATTTAGAATTGGCATCCATTGTTCAATCATTGAAGATTTGGAGTCACTATCTATATGGTGTGTCTTGTGAGGTATTTACAGATCATCGGAGTCTTCAATACTTATTCAAACAGAAGGATCTAAATTTGAGGCAGCGGAGATGGTTGGAGCTGCTAAAGGACTATGATATCACTATTTTGTATCATCCCGGGAAGGCCAATGTAGTGGCTGATGCCTTGAGTATAAAGGCGATGAGTATGGGTAGCCTTGCATTCATTCCTGTTGGTGAAAGGCCTTTTGCAGTTGATGTTCATACCTTGGCTAATCAGTTCGTGAGGTTAGATGTTTCGGAGCCTAGTCGGGTTCTAGCTTGTGTGGTTTCTCGGTCTTACTTATATGGCCGCATCAGAGAGCTCTAGTATGATGATCCCCATTTGCTTGTCCTTAAGGAGACAATTCAGCACGGTGATGCTAGAGATGTTACTATTGGGGATGATGGGGTATTGAGGATGCAGGGTCGGATTTGTGTGCCAAATGTAGATGGATTGTGTGAATTGATTCTTGAAGAAGCCCATAGCTCACAACATTCCATTCATCCGGGTGCCACTAAGATGTACCAGGACTTGAGGCAACACTATTGGTGGATAAAAATGAAGAAAGATATAGTTGGGTTTGTAGCGCTGTGTTTAAATTGTCAACAGGTGAAGTACGAGCATCAGAGACTGGGTGGATTGCTTCAGAGACTTGAAATTCCGAAATAGAAGTGGGAGCGTATAACCATGGACTTCGTAGTTAGACTCCCATTGACTTTGAGGAAGTTTGATGTTGTTTGGGTGATTGTAGATCGGTTGACCAAGTCCGCGCATTTTATTCTAGTCGGCACTACTTATTCTTCGGAGCGGTTGGCTTATATCACGACCCAAATTTCCCATGGGCCGTGATGGCGCCCAACGTCGTAGCTGGACAAGCCAACAGTGAACTAACCGTATATCTACTCTTTTAACATTTTTGAAATAGTTTATTTTAAATTATTACATAAGTAAGAGATGAGAAAATTTAATAAAATAAAACGTAACAAATTGTAAGATCAAGTGTAGTGAAATAAATACTCAAAAACCATTAAGTGTCTACTTGTAAAATTCCAAGACCTGGTATCACAAGTGTATGAGCAACTAGTAGGATACACAAAATACTAAACTACTATCTGAAATAAAGTAGACAGAAAGTAAATACAAAAGAAAGACTTCGGGTGCTGCAGAACGGCTCGAAAGGCAGCTCACCGCTAAGTCTCGATCTATCAGGAGTGCGCATCGGGATGATGTCCAGATGCACCTACCTCATATCCTGCACGTTTAGTGCAGAAGTGTAGTGTGAGTACATAAACAACATGTACCATTAAGTAACTAGTCTAACCTCGAAGAAGTAATGACAAGGGGTATACTTCGACACTTACTATTGGCTAACAATAAAATACGGAAATTCTAAATAAGCATGAGTTATGTAAACAACCATAAATCTCCATGACAAGCGATAAACAAATATTTCTTTCACTAATAATAAATCCCAAGTCAATTTACATCATTTAAATAATTGTAACCTCTCAAGCCAATAAAATCATATCAAGAAGATTAGGCTCCAAGTAATATTACGCACGATTTATGCCGAGGTCATACGGCCCGATCCAAAATATATGTATATATTGTGTGCATTGCCGAGGGTTGAACGACACGAACCATAGATGCATCTATTAACCTGCCAGGGCGAACGACTCGCTCCCATGAGAGTAGAAGAAATTTACCTCGCTCGCGGAGATACTTGCGACGCGAGTGGACATAGATTTCTCAAAGTTATTATAAAATTCTTCCATTCTTCCCCACACATAAGAAATTTAAACGGGAGATTTTAAATCTTAAAATTCTTAAATCTCACCTCTAGTTAAGACAATTAATATATATGACCAACATAATAGAAAAACAAAGCATGGTGTAAGCCTAAGTCTACCTAGACATCACAGAGAATATAGCTACGCAAAGACTCTCGTCACCTAGTGCGTATATAGCTCCCCACACATATAATTCACAACAAAATATGCCTAAGGGGATGAGTTCCCTCTTACAAGGTCAGGCAAGAGACTTACCTTATCTCAAAGCTTACTTTTCGATCGACAATTGTGCTTTAAACCCTCCACTCGGTGCCAACCCTAATTGAAGAAATTCCTAAATTTTACACACACACACACCCGGGCCCACGTGCCCGTATTCTGGAAATCTTTGAAGAAAGTTGTTACCCATAACCTCATGAAGTCAAATATATAATTTTCACTAAATTCCACAACAATTTTCGTGGTTAAATCCCA